GAAGGTATTTGTCCCAGCTCTGCCCAGGTGCAACCTGTCAGGCTTGTAGAGGTCCCACTTTTCCCAGTGTCTCAAGAATCTAAACCTCTCCCTGGAACACCATTTCTCCAGCCATGCGTTCATCTGATCTACCCTCTTAATCCTGCTCTCACTTATACATGGCACTGCATTTGAGGACCTGCATTGTAATTTATCTCCTAACTTCCTATATTCAGCTTTCAAGGCTACATCCCTTTGTTTAGCTATGTTGTTGGTACCTATGTGTACCGCAACCACTGACTGTTCACTCTCTCACTCCAGAATGTCCTTCAGCCACTCCAAGACATTCCTGATCCTGGCATCAGGAAGGCAACGTACCATCCTGAATTCACACCTGTGACTGCAGAAATGCCTGCCTGTACCCCTTGTTATTGAATTCCCTATTACTATAGCCTTGCTATTCGTTTACCTTCTCTTCATTGCAGCACAGCCAATGGTGGAACTTAGCTGACGCTACATTCCCGAGAGGCCATACCCTCCCCGCTACAAGTATCGAAATCAGTATATCTGTTTTAGAGGATGACGACCACAGGGGACTCCTGCACTTCCTTCCTCAGCTTTTATTTTGCCTGATGGTCACCCATTCCCTTTCTGCCTGTGTAATGTAATCCTCACTTTTGGAGATTCCACCTCACTAAATGAGCTATCCACAACATTCTCAGCATCGCGGATGCTTCACAGTGAGTCCACCCTCAGCTCCAGCTCCCAAAAGCAGTTAAACAGTCACTGCAGCTGGACACATGTCTTGCACACAGTCATCATGGACACTGAAAGCATCCCTTATTTCCCATGTTGCAGAAGAGGAGAACACCAGAGATCTGAGGTCTCCTGTTTATTCTTCTCTCCACATTACATTAGTTTCTCCCTTTAAGAGAATTTAGTTAAGCTAGGGACCTTCTATTATAATTGAAAGTCCCTACTTTTATTTCTGCTAATATTTTATGCTTTAAAAGCTGTAAGAAAATACTCTGTGGGTATTATTTACCAATTGGCTGTTTCCGTTGGCACACGTCACTTTCTGAAATGCCCAGGCTGAGACTGAGAATCACACTCAGAATCATAGAATCCCTACAGTGTGGAAGCAGGTCATGTGGACTGTAGAGTCCACATCAACCCTCTGAACAGCATCCAACCCAGACCCACGTTCCTACCCTATCCCTGTAAACCTGCATCTCCCATGACCAATCCACCTTGTGGGATTGTGGGAGGAAACCGGAGCACCTTGTTGAAACTCACGCAATCATGGGTAGAAGGTGCAAACTCCACACAGATAGCTACCTGAGAGTGGAATTGAACCCGGATCCCTGGTATTGTGAGGCAGCAATGCTAACTACTGAGCTGGCTCCCCTTCAGTTTCACCTTCTCCCTGTCTCACCCACTTCCTATTTTCACAGAACTCCAAAGTACTTTCATTTAGCTAAGCAACACCCTGAGTGCAGCAAGCAGCACTGAGGCTCCCTCTTTGTTATAGGCTCTAAAAACAATGCTTCTGAACTGGATCAAGCCAGTTGGTCACTTAACCAGTTTCACCTGAGAGTTTTCTAGACTTGTGCCCTTGGACACGTCCCTCATTATAATATTTTCAACCATAACTACATTTCTTTTCACTCTCCCCATTTAAAAGGGGTCCTGAACCAAGATGCCCTAGTCAGTCTGCTCTTCCTCCTCCTCAGAGACCTTGTTTTTGTCCATATGGATGGGCACCTTGAACTTGTTAGAAAGTAACAATGCCCGAGGTTCCTGCATTACAGCATTCTCTGACCCCTCACCTGCCTCATTTTTAAGCCCCATGCCTCACTAAGTAAAGAATCAGTCTTTGCTATCATAGGTTACGTGACCGACTTCTGAAACTAGAGTCAATGCCAAGCAGAAGAAAAACTCCCTGCTGGATGGTGTCATTACTAGCACAAAGGAAGATGATTATGATTGCTGAAGGTCAATTACTTCAAGCACTGCTGGTGTTCCATACACTCAAGTTTGGGCTGACAAGTGGCTAGTAGCATTCGCATTACACAAACACCAGGCAATTATAATCTCTAACAAGAAAATATCTAAACATCATCTCTTGACATTCAATGCTTCAGCATCACTGAATCCCCCACTATTATGTCCTAGGGGTTATCATTGACCAGAAACTAAACTGGACCAGCCATATAAATACTGTGAGATCAAGAGCAGGCCAAGATCTAGGAATTCTGTGTTGTGCAATTGATTCCTATCTCCTCTAATACCTGCCTACCATATAGGAGGCAAAGGTCAGAGTGTGATGGGATACTTTCCACTTGGCTGGATTGGTGCAACTCGACTCCATCCAGGACAAAGCAGTCCACTTGACTGTCACCTCACCCACCACCTTCAACATTCATTCTCTCCACCATCAAAACAAATGGCAGCAGTGTGTACCATCTATAAAGATACACTGCAGCAACATACCAAGGATCCTCTGCCAACATTTTCCAAACCCATGACCTCCACAACTAAAGGACCAGGGCAGCAGATGTGTGGGAATACCAGCAATTGCAAATTCCACTCCAAGTCATGGGTCCTGACCGAAACGTTGACTTCCCTGCTCCTCTGATTCTGCCTGACCGGCTGTGTTCCTCCAGCTCCACACTGTATTGACTCCAAGTCATCCTAACTTGAAACTGTATTATCACTCCTTCACTGTCACAGGGCCAGAATCCTGGATCTTCCTTTCTAACAACACTGTGAGTTGTTCCATGCCTCAAGGGCCACAGCAGCTCAAGGAGCCAACTCCCCCACCCCCTTATCCAAGGCTATTAGAAAGGGCAATAAATGCTGGCCTAGTCAGTGACACCCAAGTGCCATGACCTTTAGGTTTGTTATGTATTTACATGCTGCAAAGGGAAAGGATTTGCTTAAGTTGAGAGTGGTACAGATTTTCTGAAAGTCCATTTACGTGCAGTTTGAGTCCAGTATGACTCTTCCTCAGAAGTTATATCAGACTTCAGACTTGAAACGCAAACTCTGGCTCTTTCTCCACAGATGCCGCCAGACATACTGAGTTTCTCCAGCATTCTCTGTTTGTTTCAGATTTCCAGCATCTGCTGTATTTTGCTTTCATTGCAGAACAGAGGAGATTGGGCTAGATGTCCAATGGCACAAGAGACAAAGACAGAAATAAGTTAATTTATAAAAGCAGTATGCAAGTGTCTCTCAGAGAATCAGGTTATTCAGAAAGTAAAATTGTGTGATAGCACGAGTGCTGTTTTGCAGTCTCCAAAACAGTCTGGATTGAAGAAAAGTCCTGACTGGCTTTGAAAAAACTCCAGAAGATGAAACAGCTGAAGCTTAAGGGTATGGAAATCTAGAGAGTGGTTGCCCTGAAAGCGTCTAGAATTCATGTAGAGGAAAGCTCTAGAAACTGACTGCATCCGCCATTCCAATTAAAGAAGGAACTTTAAAGAAGTGACAATATGACACACTTGGGATTGTGTGGTGATTTTTAAGCCTAACTAATTCCAGGGTTGCCACATAAATTAACAATTTCATCAAAGTACACAAAGTCCACAATTTATCTATTTGGAGCCAGGTTAACAGTAAGGACTGACCAGGTTGCCATACTTCATGAAAACTACCATTTATTACAAATAAATAAGGCATAGGTAAACAAAACTATGAACTATCAACACTAGTTGACTCTTTTAAGTCTCACTTAAACTCCTACACACACTTTTAAACAGAAGCAACAAACAAAAAAAAAGCACCAGTGTTATGGGTGGAGGGAAGAAAATCTGGAGAAACACCAATCAACAGCATCAGTCTCAAGGTTTGAATGACCTGTCCCTTTTTCTTCCCAAGAGCTCATGTTCTTTGGGCTCTTTCTTTGCATGAGGCAGAGGACAATTGGTTCACTAATTACAAAGCTTCTTAATTACTAAAGACAACAGTTTACAGCAACTGGTGGGAGAAGATAAAATGACCATCTTCAGATTTCACCAATTTTTAATACAAAAGAATCTGCTCTTCCAGCAGTCCTAAGCTTCTCATCCTCTGTTGTAGAACCGAAGCTGTTCACAAGCCCAGGAACCAAAGAGCTGTTATCAGGCTGATGATTTCTAGCATTCGCACCTGGTTATGCATGCACAAAACAATCAGCGACCTGTTGCCAGCCAAATCATTCTCTGTACCCACACCATGAAGCTGTGCAGTCTTATACCAATCCACAGTGTAAACATAACTCACAAAGAATTCCAATAACTTGTTTTCAAAATGGCCACAGTTCCTTCCTCAGTCCTTGGTTTTAAAAACTTTGCCCATTTTAGTCCACAAAAGGGAAGAAAAATACAACAACACAGTCTTTACATCTTTCACCGAGATTTGGGTATCTGTAACTTTGTTGTTGAGGGTTCAAGGGTTGAATTTTTATTTTTAATATTTCTAAAAAGACCTTTTCAAGTAGTTTTTTTTTTATTTCCACCACAGTACTGACCATCAGAGTAAACATGTGGAAAAATAAAACATATGCTCTTTGAAGCTAGGTTTCACGCTGGAACCTGACTTATCCGCCATCAGTTAGGGCCATACCACTTGTTTAAGCCTGAAAGAGACTTGAGTTTTAAATTTTACTTAAACAGTAAGTCTTACTTAAATGTTAACTGCTAAAAGAATGAACACAGGATTTTAAAGATGGATTTACTCTTAAAAGAGAGATGAACCTTAAAAACATTCAAACTTAACCATCTTCAAAGCATCCCACTCTGTGCCAAAGTGCACTCAACCTAATCAAATAACATTTGATACATTCCATCAGCTGGCTGCAAAAAAAAAATTTCAGCTAACTTGTTTTTCCACTAATATTACGAAAATCCAGTCCATAAATCCATCCATTACTGTTTGTTACTCCTGAAAATCACTCCCAGGGTGAAATTATGATTCCAAATTAAGTTTAAGATATAAAGCATAACTGACAGTGCAATTGTTGATCAAAATAAACTTACTTCTCCAATTCTGCTATCCTTTTATCTTTATCGTTCTTTTCGCTTTCCATTTCCTTTAAGATTTCAAGCAGTCTGTCCACTTCTGCTTGAGCTTTGTTAGCTTCATCCTTATACTGTGCCACCACCTTCTCCAGTTGTTCGATGCGTTCATTGAGGTTTGTACTGGCTCGTGCTTCTGTTGTAGCTTCGAAAGACTGAAAGTAAAATTAAGAAAATGAGTCAGATAAATTTATTCAAAATTGTACATGTTAGCTAATATTATGGCTGCAGTTTGCACAAAATCATAAACTCTTTACAAATCTTAATGCTGTCAGGTCCCTTGGACTAATTTGGATTATATATGAATACTGTAGGGAATGCAGATTTATAGTTAAGGACTATCTGGAAAAATCAAAAAATATGGTGGCACAGTGGCTCAGTGGTTAACACTGCTGCCTCACAGTGTCAGGTACCCACGTTCGATTCGAGTCTCAGGCGACTGTCTGTGTGGAGTTTGCACATTCTCCCCATGTCTGCATGGGTTTCCTCCGGGTGCTCCGGTTTCCTCCCACACTCCAAAGATGTGCACGTTATGTGGACTGGCCATGCTAAATTGCTCATAGTGTCCAGGGATCTGTAGATTAGAAGTGTTAGCCATGGGAAATGCAGGGTTACAGGGAAAGGGTAACGGGATGGGGATTGGTCTGGGTGGGATGCTCTTCGGAGGGTCACTGTGGACTTGTTGGGCCAAAGGGCCTGTTTCCACATGGTAGGGATTCTGGGAATATGGGATTGTTTGGATAGGGTCTGTGTTAATTAGAATTCAACAATGAATAAGGTCCCCAATTTGGTATGTGTTGTAAGGCGCCTGCTGTTTACGGAAAATTCAAGTGTTTTTTGAACAAAAAATCGTAGAGTTTTCAAGGAGATTACAGATGGGAGTTATTGCCTTACTTACAGAGAAACTGGCATTAAAAAGACTATAGGCCTTTGTGTTAATGGCTACTCAGCAACTCTTTCTGGACTTAGAATTCTGCTTTACAGAACAAGGAATCAGTAAGGAAGACACCCTGGAAACTGCAAGTCTTTCTCCTGAAATTCTGTTTGCAGTAGAAGTTTCTTAGAACCTGAAATTCCAAATCATTTGGCGCATCCAACAAAAATCCAGTGAATACGAGAAATCATCATATTCTATCCCTTCTTTCTAGACTGTTGGTCAACAGGGGATTCTTTCCTTCTTTTTGACCATTTTTTAAGAAACAAACATCTCTGCTGAGATTTGTCTTTTCATGCGACATGAGCTTGTCTGTATTTAAGATTCAGGGGACATATTTTAATTCCAGATCTTAGCTTATGTGTTAAACAATGTCTGTCATTTTATTTAACAATAAGTTTCGTTCTAATAAACAGATTATTTTGAGTTCACAAAGGAAGTCTGGTGACTGTTTCTTTATTCTGGATAGTGGTACAGAAGATAAACAATTGCTCATTTTGGTAACTAAATCAACATATTTATACTAATGGTGCTACCAGTGGAGTACTCGGGCTTGATTATCAGCACATCCATACCATCACAGTCATAACAATACTGGATAGCGCTGAACATCAGTTGACTTACAGAAAGCACTTTCCAGCCCTTTATTACATACTTAATTTTTGTTTCTTTCCATTCACCTGTTGGGCTGGTTTTTGAGGCAATTTCATCTTAATTTACTCCCATCATGCACTGCCCACTTGGGATCTACATGAACATCAGAATAATATCTATATGACACGTCAGAACATATCTGTTATTTTAAAATGAAGCAAATGGTTAGCTGTAAGATACATCCAAATATCAGAACAAGAGCCTAACATTGAATTTTTTGCAAGATGCTGCATACGTGCTCATAAGAAAATGCTCAGAGCGACACAAGTAAGTCATAACGTCCGTAAGTAATTCTAACAAAACTGGGATTCTACAGCCACCTAAGCATGGGATCTTGCAGCGTAGGACAAAGCAAACTCAGATAAGACATTCTGAAAGCAAATATCTGAACCAAAGTTGAAGCTTGCTATTTTTTGGGCGGAGGGAGAGAGAAACAATCCTTGAAGGATCCAGAATCCAGACAGAAAAGTCTCTTATCAAGCAATCTTGACGTCTGACATAGAGAGTCGGGTCTCTATAGCACAAGCGGGCATAGCACAAAGTCAAACTTCCCTAAAAGTGATTTCATGTGTAATGTTTGCAAACGAATTGGCAAAGCAAGTTTTGGTTTAACCTCACATATCAGATTTCACCAAACTAGATGCCAAACAACTGGGCTCCTTGCACAACATTCACTGGTTGAAATGACAGAAGGATCCATTACTGCCCAATGAAGCTGAACTTCACAAGTCAGTTATGTTTGAAAATGTCCCCCTTAATTTGAAATCTGGAAGCACGCCAGCTCACAGACACACGATATGGTTTGGTTAACATGGTGGAGAAACTCAAACGGATTTGGGTGAGAACGTAGGAGGCATGGTCAGTAAATTTGCGGATGACACCAAGATTGGTGGTATAGTGGACAGTGAAGTTATCTAAGATCACAAAGAGATCTTGATCAATTGGGTCAATGGGCTGAGGAGTGGCAGATGGAGTTTAATTTGGATAAATGTGAGGTATTGCATTTTGGTAAAATAAACAGGGGCAGGACTTGTACAACTAAAAGTAGGGCCGAGTAGGGTTGTAGAACAAAGGTTCAGGTATATAATTCTTGGAAATTTGCATCACAAGTAAACAGGGTGGTTAAGAAGACATTTAGCATGCTTGCCTTCACTGCTCAGACCTCTGAGTTTAAGAGTTGGGATATCATATTGAGGTTGCACAGGACATTGGTGAGGCCTCTTCCGGGGTAGTATGTGTAGGTCTGGTCGCCCTGGTTTGGAAGGATATCATCAAATTGGCGAGGATTCAGAAAAGATTTACCAGGATGTTGCTGGGAATAGAGGGTTTGAGTTACAAAAAATAGGCTGGGACTTTTTTCACTGGTGCGCAGGAGGTTAAGGGGTGACCTTATAGAAGCTAATGAAATCATGATGGGCATAGAAAAGGTAAATAGCCAAGGTCTTTTCCCCAAGATTGGGGGAACTTTTGAGGGCATATTTTTGAGGTGAGGGGAGAAAGGTTTAAAAAGAACAGGAGGGGCAACCTTTTACACAGAGTGATTTGTGTGTGGAATGAGCCGCCAGAGGAAGTGGCAGAAGTGGGTACAATCACAACATTTAAAAGACTTTTGGATAAGGACATGAATAAGAAAGGTCTTGAGGAATATGGGCCAAATGTAGGCAGGTGGGACTAGTTTAGTTTGGAAACATGGTCGGCATGGATTAGTTGGACCGGACGGTGTGTTTCCATGCTGTATGACTCTATGAAATATCAAGTAACAGTTTTAACACACCTTTAGGACACACAGAAAAGAGGCAGTTACCTTCTGAAATTCAGGGAGCACGAGTGAAGAAACACACACACACACACACACACACACACAAAACTCCTGTTATGTTTCGATAAGGTCACCTCACCTTCTTCTAAACTCCAATCGGTACAGGTCCAATCTACTCAACTTCCCCTCACAAGACAGATCCTCCATACTTCAGATCAGCCAAGTGAATTTTATCAGAACTGCCTTCAATGTCAGTATCACTTTCCTTAGATAAAGGGCCCAAAACTATTCAGTTTTCCAGCTGAAATCTAACCTATGCCCTGTTTATTTTTAGCAAGACCTCTCATTTTCATACTTCATTCCTTTTAAAATAAAGGCCAAAATTCCATTTGCTTTCTCTAGGTCCTGCTAAACTTCAATATTAGCTTTTTATGATTTATGCCCAAGGACTCCGAAATCACACTGTGGTGCAGCTTTCTGCAGTCTCCACTTAAATAATATTTAACTCCTGTGTTCTTCCTGCCAAAATGCACAACCTCACATATTCTCATATTACATTAAAACTGCTAAGGTTTTGCCCACTCACTTAACCTTTCCATATTCCTCTGCAGAGTTTTTATGTCATCCTCACTAACTGCATTCCCAGCTAGTTGTGTTATCTGCAGACTTGTCTATAGTACATTCACTCTTCTCATCCAAGCTATTAATATGTATTGTAAGTAACTGGGGCCCCAGTACTGATCCCTGTGGCACTCCACTAGTTGCCATCAGGTTGCACAGATTTCCATCTTGAAAATGCCCCATTATCCCAACTCTCTCTTCTATTATTTCGCCAATCTTCTGTCCATGCTACTATACTACTGCAACACAATGGGTTCTTATCTTATTAACTAGCCTAACATGTGGTAGCTTATGAAACATCTTTTGAAAATCTAGATGCATTAGATCTACTGCTTCCCCATTATCTATGTTAAAACATGAAATCTTGTCCTCAATTTACTTCTGTCAACTGTTGGAATTGTTCCAGATCTTATGGAAACAAGATTTTGCATTCATTTCTGTATTCAGTGAAAAATTCACATGATTACCTTCAATGCTCTCTCATTTCTAGACAGAGAGAAAGGACTGTGTGTTAGCGCATTTTAATAGCAAACAAAGGTTAATTTGAAGAACTTAGGGCCTCACTTCAAATAAGTAGCTAAAAACACAGATTGTTCAAGATTTAGCTGTACAGTTGAACCTACAGGAGGTAAACACTGATCTTAATCGCACTGAATGACAATCTGACAGCAATCTCAATTGGACTCAAAAATAACAAAAAAAAGGCTCAACTATCAAAGAACAGAAAAAGAAGAGGATTTTTTTAAAAAAGCATTTCAAATTCTAAAGAGAAAATCTTAAATATGAAAGGGAAGCAAGAGAATTCTAACTGGACAGAGATAAGCTTGATTATGCACACTGTCAGATAATATTAGGAGAACTCAGATTTAACTTCTGGTTTTGATTTGGCAAGGAATATTCACATAATGCCTAAATTAAGCAAGGAGTTCCGGTCTATTTTGTGTCATTTAAGGAAATTGCCACAAAACTGCAGCAGTAAAGAAAATTGGACTGTTTTTCTACAAATTATGTTCTTCGAAAAAGCCTTGGAGGTATATTCATCTTTTTCAGATGATGAGTCTGGTGACTATGATGTACTGAAAACTGCTGTTCTCAATCCCTGTGAGTTAGTTCCTGAAACTTACAGGCAGAAGATTAGAAATCTGTAACAGAAGTTAGTCAGACTTTGGTGGAATATATTCAAGAAA